GAACCATCTCCTAGGTTCCTAGCCTATAGGAAGTGAAAGGAGGTCCAAGGTCAGAGTACCCCTATATACAAATTATGTCATAACTTAACCAATCTTGTGGGTAACTAAGGAGCGATGACGTGTAATGAATCATAGAGGGTTGTAGAAGCTTTTGGAGCTATTGTTCATGTTCCTAGGCCTCTAGTTGATAGAGATATGTCATGTGTAGTATTAGCCCAGTAACTAAGGAGTGATGTCATGTAATGAATCATAGAGGGTTGTAGAGATATGCTATGTGGTAATATCGGCCCAGTAACTAAGGATCAATGACGTGTAATGAATCATAGAGGGCTGTAGCAATCGTTGAGTAGTATTGCTCTTGTTGTTGGTGTGATAAGCTGAAATATGTATAGTGACTTGTAGTTTTGAGTTGGAGATTTCTAAGTTTGCTCTTGGGTTTGATAGCAAACTGAGTGTAACGAATGTCAGTATGACATTGAATAACCTAAATTAATAATTAGTTATATGCTATATAACGTCCGTGCATAATGAATGATATAACATAGCGAATGATACAGTCTAATGTGCTCACTTAACAAATACTATGATAATTTCACTACAATGCTATAAATCTATTAAATCCATGTAGAAAACTCATCCTTAGATACCTCTATTACATCTAACTGGTGCATGCATTGTCTTTTGTGCCACTACAGTTACCATAGCGCCTTGAGCATGTTTCTTCCCTTGGCTTCCGACCACTCCCTGCCTGTGTTTCTTGCTTTACTTGTTTTGTAAGGTCCCTCTCATCTTGTAACTCTTATGCTTCGTGTTGTGTAAGTGACCCTCCTTGCTATAGGCATGTTGTTTTAGCCCTTCTGCATTTGCTAAGTTGTTCCATCCCTTGCTAAAGCATTTCGTTCTCCACTTTTAACAATACTAATTGATACATCATTTGTGATGCTCCCTTTGCAAATTGGTCAACAGCATTGTAAATAGAGGTTGGTGAGCTATTTTGATGATGCATAATTTGATTTTTAATGAAAGCTGTCTGTGACAAGGCTTCAGTTTGGTTATTTGGTGTCTAGGAAACCCAAGTTTGAGCGGTGCTAGGGCGGGAGTTTTGTAGTGTCAGGGTTCTAAATCTGAGTTCAAGCATGGAAACTGCACTATCAGGATCAAATGGGAAAAGCCTAGTGCCTCGGAAGCCTCCTCGAATGTGTTTTCAATCATTGTAATAAAGAAACCAGCCTGCAAGGCAGGAAAGAATTCACCCTTAGTAATATGTATGATGTGAGCCTACATCATGTTTTTAATTTGCTGCCTATAATCCTTTTTCAGTGGGCCAAAACACGCAACAGCGAGTGGTTGGAGGATATGAGAAGAATGAGCCAGCATACATAGAGTGATAATATTGTTTTCCTTGTACTATTCCTCAGATTTGTCTAGGTGATGGCTTTCATGACCATTAACGATCAACAAACGATAACCACCTACAGTTCGAGGCTTTGTATGCTTCTCAAAATGTCTAATCCATGCATTTCTTATTTTTTCTCCAACCATTATCTGTAACAGCGATTACCTAGTTTGGTGGAAATCTGCTGTTTTCATACCAAGACGTGAGGTGGTTTTTGCCTGTAACAATGATAAATGGTAGAATTGCCTAGCCTTGGGAATTAACACCCTGTATTACTATAGCCAATTCACAATTGCTAGGCTCTATTTTCTTTGCCTTCATACGTCCATTAGAGCTTGTTACCACTGTTACAGTTGAAATAATGCCCATTATAAACCCTGTCTTATTGAAGTTGTAAATATCCGCATAGTAGATGTGCTGAAATTATTTTTTTCCTAGGTCTTTTAGATGCTCATGGGTGCATTTAATTATATTTGATAAGTTACTAAAATGTCGTCACAGGCTTCAACTAAGCAATTACTATCTCCTAGTATACAGTTATTAAACCAAGCTTCATCATCACAACTCAGCTCCATTACTTCAAACCAGAAGTGCTCTTGCACTTCCTTTATCTAGTCGCATATGCCAGGTGATCCAAATACAGTATATTTCAATAGTCAACAGGTGATTGTTTGGCATTGTGGAATTTGCAAGAAGGAGTATCATATGAGTGTCGCACGCAATTGACAGATCGTAACAAACTTTCTAACAACAACAACTATAGACTAGAAAATCAATTAAATTAATTATACACCTAACGTACATGTATAGCGAAAGCGCCAAACAAGCGAAAGCGCCAAAATTATCTACCCTCACGACAAACATTGCGATAAATCTACCACAACATTAGAAATCAATTGAAACTACTCGGAGTCCTCTTCCTCAGAGGTGTCTATTACAATCTGACACGTGCGCGCATTGTGCCCAGTCTCACCACACTTGCCACAGCGACGGGCACGGGTTTCTTCCCTTGGCTTCCGACCACGGCTTGCCCTTATTTCCTGCTCTACCTGCTGCACAACATCCCTCTCATCCTGTAGCTCTTGCGCCCCTTGTTGACTAAGTGATCCTCCTTGCTGTAGTCGTGTTTTCCTAGCTCTCCGGCGCTTGCTTAGTACTTCATTTGCCTGTCGTAGGTTTTGGTTCTCTCCCTTTAGCAGTGCTAATTGATGCATTATTTGCGATGCACCCTTTGTAAACTGGTCAACAGCTGCATAGATTGAGGTTGGAGAGCTATTTTGATGGCGTGAAATCCGAGTTTTAATAAATGTAGACTGTGACATAGCTTCAATTGGGTTGTTTGGTGTCTGAGAAACCCAAGGTTGAGCAGTACCTGGGCGGGAGCTTGGAGGCGTTGGTGTCCTTAACTTAAGATCAAGTGTAGATATCACTCTCTCAGGGTCAAATGGAAGAAGCCCTGCCCCTCGGAACCCGCCTCGAATGTTACTTTCCGTCATTGTAGTGTTAAATGCAGCGTGGAAGGCAGGAAAGAAGTCATCCTTTGTAATATGAGAAATATGAGCCTGCATCATATCTTCAATTTGCCGACCATAGGCCTGCTTTAATGGGCCGAAACAGCCAACATCAAGTGGCTGGAGTAGATGAGAAGAGTGAGCAGGCATACAAAGCGTAATAATGTTGTGTTCCTTGCAGTACTCCTCAAACTCATCTGAGTGGTGGCTCTCATGACCATCAAGGACTAACAAGCGATAACCACCAACACTCCGGGCCTTTGTATGCTTCTCAAAGTGCTGAATCCAATCCATGCCTCTCTTGTTTGTAGTCCAGCCATTTTCAGTAACAGAAATCACCCAATCGCTTGAAAATCCACTATTCTCATACCAAGATGTAAGGTGGTTTTTGCCTGCAACAATGATAAATGGTGGTACTGCCCAACCTTGAGAACTAACGCCTTGGATTACTGTAACCCATTCCCGATTACCAGGCTGTACCTTCTTTGCTTTTGCCCGCCCGTTTGAGCTTGTTACAACCATAGCAGTTGAGATAACGCCCATCATAAACCCAGTCTCATCAAAGTTGTAGATATCTGCTTCATCGATACCATATTTCGCAATTGTGTTACGCACAAGCTCAAACCAGCCATTAATAACTTCTGGATCTTCGCACTTAGCCCTCTGGTAGTCGTATTTGCGCTGAAAGCGTGTCTGGAGCTCTACACGCCGCTTAACAAAGTTTGAAGCCCAACGCGACCCAACGCGTGACGCGTCGCGTGTTGCAAGTAGTCGACTTGCCATATCTTCAACAACAGACAGCCGAGGAGGAAACCCTTTGGCAGCTAGGTCGAGTATATACTGAACAAGGACGGACTCCTCTAGGTTAGTTAATTTCTGTGAGTTGGCTTGGATATTGCGTCGTGAAGGTACACCTTCTAGACGACGACCTAGCTTGCGGTGGTCCACAGAATAGATCCTAGCAGCAACTCGAAGGCGTAACTTTGGGTCGCTTTGCATAGCCTGGATAGCTAGCACTAATTGGCTTTCATCGTTTTTATGGGGCATGTTTTGTTGTTGAGGAATTTAACATTTAGTTGGGGGGTTTGGTCACCGCATCATTTTGGCGCTTTCGCTTGTTTGGCGCTTTCGCTATACATGTACGTTACAGGTCTGTGCTTAAATTGCAGTAAACGAGTGTCTTTTTGTATGGGGGAAGCACAGACTGTATGCATACTTATGGCGCCGTACTATACCATGATCCCATACTTCCGGCGCTAGTTTAAACTTTCTGTATCTTAGATGGCTAGTCAGCGAATCAGGATATGGGTTCTTCAGCCCTTGTTAGCTCGCGTGAGCTTGTTCCGGACAAACGTTATGTCTGGCCTATGAGCCTGCAGTGTTCAGCCACGGTGTGGAAGGGGCGGAGTTGTGTGTGTATCGGGACAAGGCAGATCCACAAGTTATGATCGTACGCTAGAAGGTACAAATAGAACGGATCGCTTAGAACCGACACATATGAAACTCCCGATAACTGCCGCAGTAGTGGGAACTTAGAGATCAGCTATGTGTAGATCAACCCTGTTCTAACGTCTTTAAGGGTAGAATATGGTAATCGTCGTTAGTCTTGACATAGAAGCTGCTGAGACGTATCAAAACGGCTCACGTTGTTCGTCGTAAGTGTCTCATTCGTGCGGCATGTTTTCTTTTCGACGATCCGGTTTTATCATTTATATTCTGGATGGCATCGTTTTGTGAGAAAATAGATAGCTGGTATTATATAGAGGCGTTGTATCTGAATATTCCATCCAAATGTTTTTAGAGTGCTATTTGTGAAGCAACTCTATTATATCCAGCGCTCATTATCGTAATCCTACGCATAATATCGCCCCTAGCTAGATATCGCCACTATGGAACCTGTAGCGCAAGCCAAAGAATCTCTATCTCAATCGCCCCTCCCAACAGAACCTTCGTTACCCTAAGGTCCAACATTCCCTCATTCCAATCGGTCGTTTCGGAGCACCAATCCAAGCCGCGACAATTTAACACATTATTCAACACTCAGTACCAACTGGGATACCCAGACCATAAAAGCCTTGTCCGACATTTCAAGAATGCAGAGCCCGCAAGGAAATTGCATCAATCTTATACCTCGATGCCATCATGGAGATGGATCCCCTTCAGATTTAGACTCAGGGGAAACAACTCCAGTATTCGATGGCAAGAGTCAGATCAAAAGCCTAAATACCAAAATACATGAGAAGATACGCTCAAAACCGCCGTACCATGTCTTCACACACAAGAAGAAGAAGAAGCTCATGTATCTTGCTGCCACCGCTGGTTTGTTTTCATCACTTTCGGCCAACATATACTTCCCTGCCCTCGGTCAGATATCAAGGGTGAGTCCAAATATGCATCATTCTCTTATGCTCTGGTGTTGACATACATTGGCAAGGATATCAACGTCGGTCTGCCATTACTCAGTCTGACCATTACCGTATATATGGTTGCACAGGCATTTGCACCGTCATTTTGGGGACCGCTATCAGATACCCAAGGGAGACGAATTACATTCATAGGTAAGCAAGAGTAACAATATGTATGGTATAATGTTTATTAACTCGAGTTAGGAACATTCGGGGTATATATCATCGCCAACCTAGGTCTTGCTCTCAGCACTGGCTTCGTGCCCCTGATGGTGCTCCGTGGCATGCAAGCAGCCGGCAGTGCTGCCACTATATCAATTGGTAGTTGTTTCTACTCCTGTTCGATGAATGGGTAATAACATTGAGTTAGGCCAGGGACTGATAGGCGACATCGCCACCCCCAAAGAACGGGGGTCATTCACAGGAACTAATCAAGGAAGTGAGTAACCATTTTTAATTGATATTGCTCTCTGCTAACCAAATAGTCCGTATGTTTGGACAGGCAATCGGCCCCGTTTTTGGTGGCATTATCGCCCAGTACCTTGGTTACCACGCCATATTCTGGGTCCTCTTTGGAGGGGGAATCTTCGCCCTCACCATCCTCGTTGTCTTTCTGCCCGAGACCCTCCGATCCATTACTAGCAATGGCACCGTCTGCTTAAAGGGCATCCATCGACCAATATACTACAAGTTCACCCAGTCAGAGGAGCATCTCGTTGAGCGAGAAATTCCCACAAAGAAGAAATTAACGTCGTCCATGGCTTTTGGACCATTTATGCTTCTTCTCGAAAAGGACGTGTTTAGCGTTATCTTCTTTGGCTCGATGGTCTACGCAGTGTGGAGCATGATGACCTCTAGCACCACGGCACTCTTCCAAGACCGCTTCAACCTCTCGGATCTCCAAGTCGGCCTAGTCTTCCTCCCAAACGGTATAGCATCCATGCTCGGCTCCTATCTCACTGGGAAACTTTCCAAGCATGACTGGGCCGTGATGGAAGCCAAATATCGAGCGGCCAAGGACATCCCTGATTCAAATCCTCTCAATAAGAAGGAACTCGTCGACTTCCCCTTTGCCCAGGCTCGGATGCGTTCTATTTGGTGGATGGTCCTCATCTTCATTATCTCCAATGCTCTATATGGCTTCTCGCTCAATTTCAACGTCCTCGCCGTTCCCCTTATCCTTCAGTTTCTAATCTCGTACACCGCGAACTCAATATTCGCTCTCAATTCCACACTCGTCGTTGACCTCTTTCCCCAAGCCTCGGCCAGCGCCACCGCAGTCAACAACCTTGTGCGCTGCCTCATGGGCGCCGGTGGTGTCGCCGTAGTGCAGCTCATGGTTGACAGAATTGCCTCTGGTCCAACATTCGCTATCTTGGCTGCCGTCACCGCTGTTCTGACTCCGCTTCTTGTGATCCAGTGGCGTAATGGCCAGCGGTGGCAAATAGAACTCAAAGATTGCATCGCTGCTTGCGAGGCACGTAGGGGAGCAACAGACCCGGAGAAGGCTAGGACCTAGAGGCATTAAGAAGCCCGCTTGGAATATCTTTCTTTGTTCGTTTCATATATATATTTTCTGCGTTGTCTCACATTTGGGGTTGCTTTGCGAGTCGGTCTCGTCAGCGTTCAAATATTTTTAAAAGTTGGAAAAGTTGGTTCATTCATGTTCTCGGTTTGCGTTGCGGGTTCGTCTCTTTTAGATTTGTTCTCGGGTTGAGAAGGTTGATCTCGTCAACAAAGGGTATCCTAGTTGACTTCACCTTGGTGTTTTAAGGATAGATAGTAGACATGTTGATTTTTATGGGAAATGATAACGACGATATATGACACCTCTATACAGACTCAAGATTCAACCTCAGTACTCTAAAGGATATGCTCTCCCTCTTGTATAGAGAGACTACCCCTTGAATGCTTTCCCTCCTCTTTTTTTGTTCATTTGCTGCTTATAGAGCCTCAACTTCTACCTTAAGTAGAACAGCAGAATGCATTATAACCTAAGCTCCTTTAGCAAGCTGGCTTAGTACATCATTAATTAAGCTAGGTGAGCTATTCTGATGCTATATAATGTAGTTCTTAATATGCTCTGTTAGAAAGTCAAGCTCTCTTATAGTTTGAGGTGTTTTAGAAGTCTAATGACTACTTTGAACTATAGGGGGTGTTAGGGTTTTTAGCTATAAGCTAAGGTGAGCAAGGACGCTCTGTGGCTCGTACAGAACTAGTCCTATAGCTCGGAATCTGCTCTTAATGTTCTGCTCTGTAAATGTAGCTTTGAATGCTTCTTTAAATGTAGAGAGAAACTCAAGCTTCGTGATTTAATCTAACATCTATATAATAGCTTTAGTAGAGCAAAGTGTAGCTAACATTAAGTGGCTAAAGGATGTGCGAGAAGTGTAGTAGCATATAGAGAGTGACTATCTTCTGATGTATATAGTAGTGTTGAAATTGAGCTAAGAGGTGGCTTTTATGTTGTTATGGCTATAGTAACATGATGTCATGGTTACAGGGCCAGGGCCTAGTAACGTGATGTGTGAGTCACATAACGTGACGTGTGAGTCACATAACGTGACGTGTGAGTCACATAACGTGACGTGTGAGTCACATAACGTGACGTGTGAGTCACATAACGTGACGTGTGAGTCACATAACGTGACGTGTGAGTCACATAACGTGACGTGTGAGTCACATAACGTGACGTGTGAGTCACATAACGTGACGTGTGAGTCACATAACGTGACGTGTGAGTCACATAACGTGACGTGTGAGTCACATAACGTGACGTGTGAGTCACAGTGGGAAGCGGGGTAGGCTGCCATGTGACGGGGCTAATGGATAGTTGCAGAAACTAGTGGATATTGGATAGTTGAGCTATCCACGAACTATCCTGAATATCTAGCTATCCGCCAACTATCCAGATTACCCATGAGGCACGACGCCACTATATAAGTAGATAGTATTTCCTTAGATAGGAGCTTCGTGCTCAACTCAATACAGTATTTGTTATATACTAGTAACGTGTTACTTGAAGCCTTTGTGTCTGATCCCCTGCCTCCTCTGATAAGTAAACCTTTACGCAAGAGAACCTCTGTGTCTTCTATCGTTTAGAAGTCAGCGTTACATATGTCTGTTAAGAATAAGAAGGCGATAGGTTCTAATCGTGCAAGTGTTTGTATGCTAATTGAAGTGTTAAATCCACTCATACATAATTGAATTTGAAGTCTACCCATTCTTACGTAGTGTTATCACCTAATTGTCTAGTAATCCTAAGTCCTTGTACTAAGCTAAGAAGTGATGCATGCCTTGAAAATGATAAACAGCAGAAGTGCCCATCTATACAAATTAACACCATTTCTTATTTCCTAGCTATATTAGACGACTCTTTGCTTCTAAGCTTATAACTACTTTTGTAGTAGCAATAACTCCTATTACAAAACCTGCTTTATTAAAGTTGTAGATATCTTGCTCTAAGATGCCATATTTTGTAACAACATTTTTGTCATACTGACATTCGTTGCACTCAGTTTGCTATCAAACTCAAGAGCAAACTTAGAAATCTCCTCCTCAAACCTACAAGTCACCATACATATCTTGGCTTATCACACCAACAACAGAAGCAATACTACTCAACGATTGCTGCAAACTCTTCTACTACATCTGTTTATGCTACATACATCACGGCATATCATTTGAACACTCATTGAACAAGTTATTAAGAAAATCTCCTCCTTAAGGGGGTGGGCCAATACTACCACATGGCATATATCTACCAACTAGAGGCCTAGGAACATGAACGATAGCTCTAGAAGCTTCTACAACCCTCTATGATTCATTACACGTCATCGCTCCTTAGTTACCCACAAGATTGGTTAAGTTATGACATAATTTATCTATAGGTACTCTGACCTTGGACCTCCTTTTCACTTCCTATAGGCTAGGAACCCAAGAGATGGTTCTATGGGATTCTCTTATGTTCACTACATGATTAGCAAGCTAGTTGTGGGTTGCTGCGTTGTGGAATAGTCTAAGCTACAACCCTTTGGCTCTGTTTCCTAAGACAGTGTGTTGTCTTAGTAAATTCATCCCTTCCTTGGGTGGCTAGATTCTCATATCTGGTGCACCCACCATTACACCTTGCCTGCTTCAAGCTTCAACTATTTCTATAGCAGCACTTCGATACTACAATGGAGGACGACCAAGCTCCTACAACTACTGCTGAACAGCAGATGCAACAACTGTTTGCCTTTATACAAACTATAGCAAACAAACTTGAGAATTTGGAAAACACCTTTCAAGCCAACACTTCAGCAACACAATCTTCAACTCAGACACATCATACAGAGCTTCCCACAGCTCCTCTGGCTATTTCGAGTACCCCAGGTGCACTTCCTAAATTGCAAACACCAGATTTATACCATGGAGACAGGAGGAAGTTGAAGGGATTTCTTATGCAACTGGACATCTACTTCACCCTCAGGCCTCATCAGTTCACCTCAGACATTCAGAAGATCTATTTCGCTGCCAGCTACCTCCGTGGATCTGCATTCAACTTCTTTGAGCCATATCTTAGAAGACTTAGTGGCAACAACCAAAATACCACTACACCTTTGATTACCTCTTATGACCAGTTTCAAGAGGAACTTACCAGGACCTTTGGAGACATCAACGAAACTGCTACAGCAGAAAGAGAGCTACAGAAGCTATGTCAAAAGACCTCTGCTGCTCAGTATACAACAGAATTTAGGAGAATCACTTCTCACTTGACTTGGAATGAAGAAGCCTTAGTCTTCACTTACTACCAAGGGCTCAAGAGCTCTATTAAGGATGAACTCAGCAAAGAAGAACGCCCTACAACACTTCAAACGCTTATAGAGAAAGCTGTCAGACTTGATGATAGGCTTTTTGAAAGAAGAAAGGAGAAGAACCAAGACTGGCATCCAACAAGAAATTTCAACAATTACACCTCTACACCAACTGCTAAGGACTCAGCACCTGAACCTATGGACTTAGACGCCTCTATAAAGAGATCTACAGCAAATCCAGCACCTCAGCCTACAGGATACCCTCAAAAACTGAAAAGGGGTAAACTTACCCCTCAAGAAAGAAAACATAGAATGGACAACAACCTTTGTTTATACTGTGGCAAAGGGGGACACAGAATTCAGGAGTGCTATTCAGCACGGGGGAGTGCTGATTCAAAACATATAGCAGCCTCAGACACAGTCACAACTGCTATTCCTGAAAAACTTGAAAAATCCCTAGCAGGCACAACTTCAACTGAGACTATAACTTCTCCCCTAGACAACAAAGATGTGTCGATGGTGCTTTCTCAGAGTCTCACACACCTGTTAATCCCTATTAAACTCCATTTCAAACAACAGGTGTTGTCTACAAGGGCTATGATAGACTCAGGGGCAACAGGCAACTTTATATCTCAAGACCTCATCTTGACACACCAGTTACCTACAATTCCCAAACGCACTCCAGAGTTGCTCCGAGTCATTGATGGAACTCCTATCAGTTCAGGTTCCATTACCTGCAACACCCCAGTACTCAAACTTGAGATTCCCCTAGGAAAATCAACATTTTCAGACACCATCTCTTTAGATGTTATACCAATGAAGTACCCAGTCATCCTAGGTCTTCCATGGCTTCAAAGGCATGATCCAACTATCAATTGGAAGCATTTATCGCTTGGGTTTAGCTCAAATCCTGAGCTCAATACTGAAAAAACCCTTCAAGCCTCAGTTACCCCTATTCAGGTCCAAGACTCAAACTTGTCCCAGATCAAGGATTTTGACCAAACTATGGACGATATATCATCTCTGATATGGGTTAAACCTTTCCAACCTGTCCTGGAGATAGCAGCTACTTCAGATTTGGAGAAATCATCTCAGGAGGTCATTTTGCCTTTAGCATACCAAGACTACCAACATCTTTTTGACAAGGCAAAGGCATCAATTCTGCCAAAGCACCAGCCTTATGACCATGAGATACCACTCGCAGAAGGCTCAATGCCTCCCTACGGCCCTATCTACTCTCTATCTGAATTAGAGCTGAAAACTCTCAGAGAATACCTAGATGAGAACCTTAGTTCTGGCTTTATCAGACCTTCTTCCTCACCAGCAGGAGCTCCCATTCTCTTTGTCAAGAAGAAAGATGGCTCCTTCCGTCTCTGTGTTGATTATAGGGGCCTTAATGCAGTCACTGTTAAAAACAGATATGCTTTACCCCTTATCCCTGAGCTCATAGATAGGCTCTCTTCAGCAAGGATCTTTACCAAGTTAGATCTCAGGGGAGCTTATAACCTGATACGCATCAAGGAAGATGATGAGTGGAAGACAGCATTCAGAACACGCTATGGTCATTTTGAATACCAGGTAATGCCTTTTGGGCTTGCCAATGCACCTGCTTCTTTCCAAGCTCTCATGAATGATATTCTAAGACCTTACTTGGATATCTTTGTTGTTGTCTACTTAGACGACATTCTTATATACTCTTTAGACACTCAAGAGCATGTTCTAC